AACAACCGTCCCGGGGTTAAACTGCTGCAGTGCAGCCATGTACCTAGGCAGAGCTGCAAATGACTTATCCCAGTTACCATAGACTATATCAAATGCCCGTTTGCACCCGAGATATATATTTCTTTTGGTAATGGTATGGCCATGTCCCTGGTGGACTGATATAATGCACTCTTTGATTTTATACCTTATGGACGCTTCAATGTGTGGAATAAAGACAAGAGAAATCAAGTCAATATCCAAGTTGAAGTGATTCCCGTTGAATGTGTCCATTTCGCATGTGTGGGTGGGAATGTATTTACCCCACAGACCTGTCTTCTTCTTGCTCACACGCAACATCCAATGACATGGCCAAAATCACCTGCGACAAACAACCTTGTATACAACCGGACTTGACTCCCATACCGTCATCTCACGACACTCTTTTACGCTGTGCATTTTACAAGCCCTGCTTACGCACGCTTTATCAGGAAAAAGCATGCCCTTTGCCAGCACCGTTGGTCTAGATTCATCCAATATTGCTATCCAAATTTCATCAAAATCCCTTGTGAGAGCTTCCATATCCGGCATGCTTGGCAAGTTATCAAGGTAAGGAATCTCCCTTGAATGAAACGACACTTGGGACTCGTACACACTTCGTCTAGGGGGGATGAAGCATACTCTCTCGTCGAATCAGGTCCTTCCTTCTTATCCTCCTTATCACCATCCTCATGAGGAAAGGGTGTCTCGTCTCCAGATTCATCAGCATTATTGTCGTAATCACTGTTCTCTTCCTCACTCTGTGCATCTACCAGATCCCGATTTAATACGTCGTCTTCGGGCAATTGAGTGAGTACATATGGTTCAACTTGCTCGTTTCACTACACAATCAACAAAATAATAAGCTATTGAAATTAATAATTACTTTCCATATAGTTGTATCACTTCACTTACAAGTCGTAATATGATAAAATTCCATGATGGTGTTACACCCCAAGTTTTCATACGTGAGAATACGTCGTAAGTCATTGATGTAAGTTCGGAAATGAGATTATATTTGGAAGAAAATAAAGTAAGTTAATCATGTTACCTTGTAGGTTACAAATATTTAAGATCATGAATAACGAGTACCAAGAGGGTTGGAAATCTTAGAAGCTAAACCATTTGAAGAAAATAAGTTTCGTCAAAAGTCGACAAGTTTGGAATGTTATAACAAGTACTTTGGGGTGAGACTAGGGTTCTTACATGATAAGGAGGTTATTCTATGAGTTATTTTAGTCGTATGATATTCATTTTCTACATTTTGAAGGCAAGCAAGTTGTGGAACAAGAGTTGGCAAAGGTCATCACAAGTTACATTCATAAATTTGCTGAAATTTAGGTCAAATGTATCTGAGAATTTCTCCAAATATACTTGGAATAATGGGGTGTTCTACCTACCAAATTGAATATCTATGAGTATAGTTTCTAACTCATTAAACTGTTCTTCAATACGATATCAGAGTAGAGAGATATTCGTGTTTTCGCGAGACCGCGCAAGCAGCTCCCAATGGGACCCACTTAGGCGGTGGTTGACCTACTTCAATTTATAAACGATTTGGACGCCTATTTTTGCTCATTTTNTAAATCCTACTAAGGTTCATATTGATGGTAGGGATGTCCATAATGTTCTTAAGTCACTCCAAAAGATTTAGAATGTGATTCTATAAGTCGAGCATGCATTATGTATATGTATCTATTTTACTCTACCGAGTCGCGCTATAGTCGGCCGGGTACGACACATATTGTGCAACCACCGATCAGTTGGGTTTACCGAGCTCCACGTGGACGGGTACGATTCTACCGAACCTTATAATGGTCGGGTACGCTTTTACCGAGTCCTCTTTGAGGCCGGGTACGATATGATGATGATGATGCCCACAAAGGTGAATGTTTTAAAAAGTTTATGTATATATATGTATTATGCATTTCATATCATAGCCCCAAGAGGCACTCAGATGTTACAGGTGGTATCTCCTTTATCTCTCTCTTTACATTACTGTTCTTATGTATGCTTTCTTGCCTAACATACTCGGTACTTTATTCGTACTGATGTCCCTTTTTCCTGGGGACGCTGCATTTCATGCCCGCAGGTCCCGATTGTTAGGTTGACAGTCCTCCTAGTAGGCTATCAGCTCAGCGAAGGTGTTGGTGCACTCCACTTGCTCCGGAGTTGCCTATTTGGTCAGTATGCTTTGGATATGTATTGATTG